TCATATAGACTATTAAGCAATATGTAGTACGAAGGCTCACATTCTTTTTTTTACTTACAAACTAATTCTTTTCTTCACTCCAATATTAAGTTAGTATAAGTTACGCGTCTTTATATACTGTAATATGTTTTAATTTTACTGTTATCCATGTACTTCTGGACTGTAATTTTGTAAAAGCCGTCTGGCGTTGATTATAATAAATAATAATAAATAATAATAATAAATTTGACAAAACTAACAATTAAATTTACGGAGTCCGAAATCTTAACAACGACGTACAGTAGGAACGAGACAGAGTCACAGAGCCGTGATAAAATAAAATTCGCATACAAGAGGCGGCTGATCCCGCGTAATCTACATATTATATAATAATTCACAATCACATAATTAATACACAAAAACAATGAAACAAAAATAAATAATTAAAAAGGTGATGGCGTGTGTGTGACCAGCTATTCTCTATATAAATATTGTTGCGCGGCAACATTCTCCCCCCGGTGAAAACTTAAGTTTTCACTTTTTTTCCGTTTCATACACAGGCAATCGACAAAGCTTGATTACTGGCCGACGCATCTCAGTTTTATTGGCCGTGCGTATAGTTACCACCCTTATTCTTCCATCATTACCTGGATGAATGTCGATTACGCGAGCGAGTTTCCACTTAGCTGGTGGCATATTTTCGTCTTTTACAATTACTATGTCATCCACTGCCAGCTCCTGACTATTGGTTGTCCATTTGCCTCGAATTTGAAGTTGTGGGAGATATTCGGTCTGCCATCTTCGCCAAAAAGATTGTATAAGGCCTTGGACATAATGCCACCAACGTAGGGAATTTTGTTCTTCGTTAGCCAAGTCTGGTTCCAAATGCATGGTTATCGGTCCTCCTACAAGAAAATGTGCTGGAGTGAGTGCCTGCAAGTCACTTGGATCGCTGCTCATTGGAGTTAAAGGTCGAGAGTTAAGGCACGCTTCGATTTGACAGAGCAATGTTTGTAGCTCAGTGATAGTTAGTTGGGCGTCCTTTAATACTCGAGACAAGTGATACTTTGCCCTCTTAACCGCGCTCTCCCAAAGCCCTTCAAAATGTGGTGCGGAAGGGGGGTTGAAATGCCACGAGATGGCTTCTTCAACAGAACCACATCCTATGTATTTTACATATGTAGCTAATTCCTTACGAGCTCCGACGAAATTCGTGCCATTATCACTCCACACTTCATTTGGCTTTCCCCTTCGCGCCATAAATCTTCTTAAGGCAGCTATAAAAGCTTGACTGGTTAAATCTTCTACAACTTCTATGTGCACGGCTTTTGTTGCAAAACATATAAAAAGCGATATCCAAGCTTTTTTTGTTAGCACTTCGTAACATGACTGGACCCGCAAAATCCACGCCGGTGATAGTGAACGGACGTGAACATTTAACGCGCTGCTGTGGTAGCGGTGCCATTAATGGAATTTGGAACGTGGGCTTAGCGCGGACACTTGGAACGCACCGACGGACAGTGTAACGAGCTAATAGACGGCCCTTCAATGGCCAATAAGCCTGACACACGGCTGAATGTAACAACTGCGGTCCACAATGCAATAGTTCATGGTGAACGTGGATAAAAATCAATTTCGTGATCGTATGCTGGTAGGGAAGGACTATAGGATATTTTTATTCCTCAGTTAGATCAGAATTTGAAAGTCGGGCTCCAACTAGGATCAGCCCATTTCGCATAAACGGTGCTAAGCTCTTCAACTTGCTTCTTGATGAAATGTCTTTATTGGCCTTGTATGCTGATATTTTCTCCGGAAATGCTTCTGCCTGCACTCTAACTAAAATCCAATGTTTGGCTTTTTGCAATTCCGCTAAGGTGATGTACTTGGTTTTAGACACTAAACTCTTCGAACGGAGAAACTCAACAAATCTACGCAACCAGGCCACGCCCTTTCTAAGCTTGTTCCAATCAGAATAGCGTTGAAAGATCTTATCGTTATTGGCTAATATCAATAATGACAACTACAATGGACGTTGTTCTGGTAGATTACATTCCTCTATTGGAGAATACACCTCTCGAGAAATTGCATTATCGTTGTCAGATAACCACTTCGGACCGTTCCACAAAAGTTCTAAGTTACTAAGACACCTTGCGCTACTACCACGGGAAATTATATCAGCTGGATTTTCTTCAGTATTTATGACCCGCCATTGTTTTGGATCTGTTATTTAAAGTATCTGAGCGACAATATTAGCTACGTACACTTTGAGACGAACAGCCTGAGCATTTAGCCATCCTAGAACAATTGTAGAGTCGGTCCACAAATGGCATTCACGACAATCCACCTCCTAGGCTGAAGCGAGTTTACTGATTAGGTGTACCAGAGTTAGAGAGCCACTCAATTATAGACGTGGTATTGTTTCACCTTTCAAGGATGCTACTCTAAGACCATA